CCGCTTAGAGGCCCTTATGTATCTGGTGGCTCGGCGACTAGGTCCGCAACTGTGCGTTAGTCGCCCGCTCTGTGGCTAGATTTTGTAACCCAGGATGGGAGGCCGGTGTGTGCCAGACCCAGGGTGACCATAGACAAGGGCATTTCGGGTAGGCGGCAGCCCTTTAAAAAACCAAACTGTTCTTTATGTCTCAAACACGCTTTTTTCTTTCTTTCGTGTAAATATCAGGTGTGTGTCTTCACTCCTTCATTCACCCTTCCTCACACAGTTTTTTGGTTCAGTCTCCTCTCCCGCCTCCCTGACTAGTTTGGCACTGCGGAACTTAACTGGAGGAGAATAGAGAGGTTCCGAAGGCGGTTATTTGGGGTGGGGTGTGTATATATCCTCTTCGTGATGCACCACCCGTTCTTGATCTTGCTTGGGCCTGATGGACTGACGAAAAAGTACTGTTGGGCCATGAGCTTCAATTAATAGTGATAGGGCTTTGCTGCTATTACTTAGGTAGGCTGGTGTGGTGTTGAGATCACATGGAAGATTAGGAGTCATCATTTACCTATACTGTAAATGAAAAGTATCCAGAGGTTTAAAAGTTCAGTCTTTGGGAATTAACTAGAAAACTGAGGGGCTGCCTGTTTTGGTTGTAAAATCAGACTTTAACAAGTTTTGTTAATTTGAAATTCCTGCTCACACTAAAAATGCATTTTGCAGATGCTTGAAATCAGCTGCATGTTTTATACAGCCTTACAATCAAGTATGAAAACACTTTAGTTTATTTGCTCACAAAGACTATTGTTGACTAATTTGTAGTACACCATTGGTTTCATTAAGTTAAATGCTACTGCTGAAACACAGATTCTGCACGCAAACTATTGGCAGACCTAAAACAAATAGGCATGTGAATGAAAAGGGCAATGCAAGACTAGCGTTGATGACAATGTACACTTGTTCTCTCTTTTGGCAGAACAGCTCTAAACAGTAGTTGAGATCAGTGGTTCCAGCCTTGGTTCCCAAGATGTTTTGAGACTCAAACTCCCAGAAGCCTTTACCACTAGCTGTGCTGGCCAGATATTGTGGAAGTTGTAGTCCAAAAACATCTGGGGCCCCAAAGTTGGGAGGCACTGGTCTAGTATTGCTTAAAGGTAGCACAGGCTGCTCTTAGACAAATGGTGGGAGGCCATGTGACTTTTTAAAAATAATGTTCTCATTCCAGACATTAAAGAAGGAAAAGTGTTTGAAATCACACAGTATTAGAAACAATATAAGTGTAGAAGGTGCTTGGAATTTCATGTCATTCCATGCTATATTATGATATTTCAAAGAAGTATTTGTTTTCTCCATGTTCCTGAAGTGAGTGTTTCTTCTCCAGCTGCAAGCTGTTTATAAGAACAGGTTGAGACTTAGTAATTGAAGATGACCACTTTCACTTCAATTGAGCATGGCTTTGTTCAGCACTGATTCTTGTATAATGTAGACTTGACTAATAGACTAATGGGTTAACATTCTAGAATTTTCCTTATGAAGGCTTACCTCGTGAAAGATGTTAAAAAGGAAAAGGAAAAGCATAGCTGACTGAGAGGGAGTTTTCTTTAAGACCAAGTAGCTGGCTTCTATGCTGCAAAAGGCTCCAGGAGTAGATGACATTGACCTCAGGCAGATTGCAGTCTGGTTACCTCTCCCTTGGTAGCTGGCCTCTGAGTGTATGCACAGTGTCATCAAAATACTGTAACATAGTATTTCAGTGATTTGATTCTTTTAATGATGCAGAAAATGAGAATTATATGGCCGTATTAGATTTTTTTAAAAGGCTGAATGCAGTGTGTCTTTTATCAAACTGAATAAACATTGAATTATTAGAGTTTATTTAGTTATCTGAAATGCATATTTATCCCCTGTTTATTAGAAGTGATGTGTCTCATATTTTAATATTTTTTTTAAAAAGTACTGTACTACATAACTGGTACATTTTTGCCTCTTTACCTCTCTTGACGTTTAGAAAGCACATTAAAACCTTGTTCTTCAGAAAGGCATTTCAGGATGTCCTTCCTTCATAATTGTTATTTTAAAATTTATTTATTTTATGATGTTGTTTTTACCTTTGGTGCCATCTTGTGCCATTTGTGACTCACTTTTTATGTTCCGTAGTGAGGAAGGGGTTGCTTATTTTGTATTTATGCCTTGCCTTTATTTGAAACTACCAGAATAATGAAATGCCACTAGGTGGTGCGGCATAGAAATTAAATAAATAAATAAATAAATAATTCCAGCTCCCTTCTCATAATTGTGGGCAGCTGCTATGTGATTGTTTGGTTCACTCTCCCTTCCCTTAGCAGACAGGATTGAGGAATAACTTTGTAAATTTCATTAAATGGCAGTGGATGCTAGAGATGGAGTGATGAAGGAAACTGGTAAGATAAGGAAGCACTACACAAAAAAGAGTTTGCAAGTAAGTACTATAGCAAGGTGTATGCACTATGTGATTATTTGGTTGCATGACCTGGCATGCAGAATAGGAGAGCGTTTTCCTTTAGAATGTGCGTTGGTGTTTCAAAGTGGGAGAAGCATAATTTGTGAATGGTAATGTAAATTAAGGTAGAGGATATTCCAGAGTGATGTTAAAATGTTTGAAATTTTTTAGATGACTTAATGGGCTCAGAACCACTTAGGATTCCAAAGAACATGAAAACGTTTAAAAAACCCTATCTGGATAGACCACCTTTCATCAGAATCATACATCTCAAATATAGGTAAAAGCTTTATTGTGGTGAATTGCATGGGCAAGCTTCCTGTGGTGAAATAGCTTAGCATTTAATTTTTACAGTTCATTTGCTGCTTGCTGATTATCAGCAATGACTGGCAGGCTTACCCAGAGAAAGATTGGAGTGAGATAAGAGGCTTTCAGAACCCAGGATGAAAGAGACTAAACAATCACATATCATTCCCCGTGAGTTGAAAGAGTCATTTGGCAAAGAAATAATTTTTTTATGAAAATTGAAATGTGGTCCTTATTGTTCCTAAAATTTTACTTACTTTATTGCAATGTGTTCTTGTGTTGTATGCAACACATGTACAGTACTATGTAAATTTGGTACATAAAATAATATTGTTTGATTTGATTTAGATTCCTTCAGTCTCGAGAGACTGGGGTAACGTGCTCTGAATAGAGGTCTTGGAACAGCGTCTAGTGTTGCTGAGAAAGCCAATACGAGAGTGACAATCCCTTCCACACTGAAGACAAATACAATCTGACCCCTGTCCAGCTCCCTGGTTTTGCTGGTTTCGGGACTGCTTGATATGCTTAAGGCATATAATGCCTCAAATTTCCTTTCTCATGTTTAAACACTTAACATATGCAGATTTGGAAGGATGCAAGTTAACAATTAAGATACCTGTAATTGTGTTTGAAAATTCACTTATGTTGCTGTAGTGACTACTGTATTATGTTCAGTGGAACTTCTTTCTGCACAGAGGGATACAGGATTTTTCTATAAATAGAGCTTTTGGCATGTTTGACAGTAAAGTTGCAGAAAGAAACCATGAGCAGTATGATAAACAAAAAAAATCATTTTATGCCTATGAACAATATAGGCATTTAGCATTATCATACTGGAAGTGAGGAACTGGGCAATTCAAAAATATATATTTGATGTTTAAGTTATAGTGGTGATTTAAATTGTGTAAATGTTTTTACATAACATGTGTGATCAATATCTGTGATCCATTCATAAATGTTTTAGTGGAAAGCACAAGCAGAAGAAACAAATGTTTTTAGAGGTCAACATCCCTATAATGTAACAACAGTACACTTGCACGTTTATTTAAATATTTTGAGTTAAAACCCTTCATATTATCATCATGTACAGTAAAGCTACAGTCCTGTACAGTGGACCCTTGACTTACAGATGGCTCGACTTACAGACTTTTCGAGTTACAGACTTCTCTGGCTGCAAAATTTAGATTCGACTTGCAGCCAGAGAATCGACTTACAGACCAGAAAAAAACCAAAATGGAATAAAAATAAAATAAAAACCACTGGTTATGGGATTAATCGGTTTTCAGTGCATTGTAGGTCAATGGAGATTCGACTTACAGACTTTTCGACTTGCAGCCACCATTCCAATACGGATTAATTCCTTAAGTAGAGGGTCCACTGTACTGTTTACTTATCAGCAAGCTAGTGAAGAATTATGCCAGCTGTGAAATAAATTGCATGAAAAATGAGCTAATCTGAAATATTGTTGATGTCATTATCAATGATTGGATATAACTGACTTAGTTCAAATTTTACTAGATATATGAAAGATCCTTTTTTTAAATCTTTCTAAAATCTCCATGGAGTTGAGAAAATGTCTGTAGAATTAAATGAGGTTTGAAATATTTTACATATAACATTTTCTTGTTTCATATACTGTATATACTCGAATATAAGCCTAGTTTTTCAGCAGAATCTTTTGCTGAAAAAGCACCCCCTTGGCTTATACTCAAGGCAGTGTCAAAATTAACATGTTCTCTCCTGCATTATGGGTGTTCTCC